TTAAAAAAAAATCAAAATTTTATTGTCCTAATAAATTGGCAAACCTGATGTGTTGTTTCTGTTGCTATTGAGTCGGTCATTGGTTTGATGTTTTTTTTCCAATGTATAGATAACCATTGTATCAATGATGTATATGTGACTAACTTGTTGTTGTTGTGTTCCTGAAATAAATAAAAAAAAAAACATTATGAGCCCATTGTTGAGCTTTTCATGTCGATTTATTGATGCATTCATAGTGGGAATTATTAGCAATAAGATACACACACACACACACACACACACTCACGCATAGATCGGATTGAATTGGATCATTTCAATTTTTTTTTTTGATTTTATTACCCTTGCTTGGCCATTAACTGCTGCGCTATGATCTTGTCACGTCAACCGACTGATTCGATATATGTTCGTGTGTTATAAGTTTCTTTGAACATGATGATGATGATGATGATGATGATGATGATGCTCTTAACATTGAATGGTGTGATCGTAAAGTGACCATCAAAATCACATGACGTTTTGGATAATTCTATCAAAAAAAAAAAAGAATCAAATAACCATCATCAGATTCCATCACATGGCCACTATAAGATTAAATTTCTTCGTTTGGCTTGTTAATTGTATTTGTTTTTGTGTGTGTATGCGTGCATTCTTCATTCTGATGTTGATGACCATCGATGCCATTATTTACATTTGCTCATCCATTAAAATTAACAGCGTGTTTGTGTGCAACAAATGGTTTCATTTCATTTTGCTTTATACATTGCTTTTTTTTAATAGCAAAGAATCTTAGACCACAAAAGAAAATATAGTTACAACAATAATAATCAAATAGGCAAATAATGCCATACCAACATAATGTTTCTCAAAATAATATTGGCATAATCATAATAATGGTATCATAGATCGTTTGATTTGTTGTTTGAAAACAAACCAAATTGAACTTTGAAACCTTATGGACCATAATAATAAGTTGAAAATATTTTAGTTTGTTGGTTTTTTTTTCACATTCATAATCATCAACACTTGATTCATGGCCACGAATATTTTTTTTTTTTTTTTTTGGTTTTGACCTTTGTGCCTAGCAACCAATCGTCCATCACAAGTTTCAACTGAATGAATCTTGAAATAAGGGAATAAAATAACCATGACAGAGCCAAAAACAAAAACCTAAACAAAAATCATATAAATCATGATGATGAATAGGTGACCAAAATATAGACCAAAAATAAATATAGAACAACCATCATCATATCATCATATGACTGATGTAGATTTTATTTAAACTATTTGAGCCTAGTATGTAGTTGTTAATGAAGCAATTCTTTTGCCTCAATCATTCTGTAAAAAAAATGGCTTAACGAGGCGATACATCGAATGTCACACACACACACACACACATGCACCTAGAGATTAGTTTGAAAATCAAAATTCAACGGTCATATCCTGCTCATAATATTGCTATTTTGAAAAGTAAAAAAGAAAAATGTTTTCTCTTCAATACAGTGGCATTCTAATTTAAAAGTTTGCTGGATTTTTTTTTTTTTTTTTTGATGAAATTCTAATAATTCCAAGCATGGCATTTTAAATTTAAATTTAAAACTATTAATATATAATACAGCTCAATTTTATCGACCGGCAACTCATCATGGTAAAAAAAAAAATAAACAGAATCAATCAATCAAAAGTTATATAATGGATTTAAGAATTTCAGAGAACAAAATTCCATTGTCTAATCCAGGGGTCGGCAACCTTTTTCGGACAGCGGGCCATTTTCAAAATAAAATTTTTTATGTGGGCTGCATATTCAAATATAACTTAAATAGTGCTTTTATATCATATACGACAGGGATGGCGAACCTTTTTTGATGTCCGTGCCACAAATTCATAAAAATTCCTATTTAAATATGTAACGTGCCACAATAAAATTTCATTCGAAAATGGCAAATGTCCAAACTAACACGACCAGTTCAGAATCGAGAAAATGACAAATTCAACCTAACACGACCAGTTCGAGAATTCAAAATTCAAAATCGAGAAAATAACAAGTCCAACCCAACACGACCAGTTCAGAATCGAGAAAATAACAAATCCAACCTAACACGACCAGTTCAGAATTCAAAATTCAGAATCGAGAAAATGACAAATCCAAACTAACACGACCAGTTCAGAATCGAGAAAATGGCAAATCCAAACTAACACGATCAGTTCAGAATCGTAAAAATGGCAAATCCAAACTAACACGATCAGTTCAGAATTCAAAATCAAGAGAATGAAAAGTCCAAACTAACACGACCAGTTCAGAATTCAAAATCGACAAAATAACAAGTACAAACTAACACGACCAGTTCAGAATCGAGAAAATAACAAATCCAAACTAACACAACCAGTTCAGAATTCAAAATTCACAATCGAGAAAATGGCAAATCCAAACTAACACAACCAGTTCAGAATCGAGAAAATGGCAAATCCAAACTAACACGACCAGTTCAGAATCGAGAAAATGGCAAATCCCAACTAACACAACCAGTTCAGAATTTAAAATTCAAAATCGAGAATATAACAAGTCCAAACTAACACGATCAGTTCAGAATCGAGAAAATAACAAATCCCAACTAACACAACGAGTTCAGAATTTAAAAATCAAAATCGAGAATATAACAAATCCAACCTAACACGTCCAGTTCAGAATCGAGAAAATAACAAATCCCAACTAACACAACCAGTTCAGAATTTAAAATTCAAAATCGAGAATATAACAAGTCCAACCTAACACGTCCAGTTCAGAATCGAGAAAATGACAAATCCAACCGATCTGCAAGAATTTTAATTGATTCGTACTCTTCTGTTCTTGCAATTCTGAAAATAAATCATTTTCAACAAAGATATTGATGAGCAACCAGCAAAAGATCAAAATACGACTTACGTTGAGGCTTATATTAATTGATTTTATCGATAATTCACAATTTTCACAAATTTATAAATAAAACAAATGAATTTTATTCGAAATCACCATAAAAACAAATCGGATAGAATAAATAGCACAACTGACACAGAACATATGTTCCGCTCTCTCAATGAATCGTGATAATTCGACCAATTTTCGTATTTGAAATGAACCTTTGAAGTTTTATGATTTAAAAAAAATTCTCTCGATTTTGAATTCTGAATTGATTGTGTTAGGTTGGATTTGTTATTTTCTCGATTCTGAACTGGTCGTGTTAGGTTGGATTTGTAATTCTCTCGATTTTGAATTCTGAATTGATTGTGTTAGGTTGGATTTGTTATTTTCTCGATTCTGAACTGGTCGTGTTAGGTTGGATTTGTAATTTTCTCGATTCTGAACTGGTCGTGTTAGGTTGGATTTGTTATTTTCTCGATTCTGAACTGGTCGTGTTTGTTTAGACTTGTTATTTTCTCGATTTTGAATTTTAAATTCTGAACTGGTCGTGTTAGGTTGGATTTGTTATTTTCTCGATTCTGAACTGGACGTGTTAGGTTGGATTTGTTATTTCCTCGATTCTGAACTGGTCGTGTTAGTTTGGACTTGTTATTTTCTCGATTCTGAACTCTGAACTGGTCGTGTTAGGTTAGATTTGATGTTTTCTCGATTTTGAATTTTGAATTCTGAACTGGTCGTGTTAGTTTGGATTTGATGTTTTCTCGGTTTTGAATTCTGAACTGGTCGTGTTAGGTTGGATTTGATGTTTTCTCGATTTTGAATTCTGAACTGATCGTGTTAGTTTGGATTTGCCATTTTCTCGATTCTGAACTGGTTGTGTTAGGTTGGATTTGTTATTTTCTTGATTCTGAACTGGTCGTGTTAGTTTGGACTTGTTATTTTCTCGATTTTGAATTTTAAATTCTGAACTGGTTGTGTTAGTTTGGATTTGCCATTTTCTCGATTCTGAACTGGTTGTGTTAGGTTAGATTTGATGTTTTCTCGATTTTGAATTTTGAATTCTGAACTGATCGTGTTAGGTTGGATTTGCCATTTTCTCGATTCTGAACTGGTCGTGTTAGGTTGGATTTGTTATTTTCTCGATTCTGAACTAGACGTGTTAGGTTGGATTTGTTATTTTCTGGATTTTGAATTTTAAATTCTGAATTGATTGTGTTAATTTGGACTTGTTATTTTCTGGATTTTGAATTTTGAATTCTGAATTGATTGTGTTAGTTTGGACTTGTTATTTTCTCGATTTTGAACTCTGAACTGATCGTGTTAGGTTGGATTTGTCATTTGTGATGTTGATTGTTGCAAATTTGTCGACACAATATTTTTTTAATTTAATATTTTTCCTAAAATTATGTTGGTGCTTTGGTGGGCCGCACAAAAAGTTGCAATGGGCCGCATGCGGCCCGCGGGCCGCAGGTTGCCGACCCCTGGTCTAATCGATTGTTTTGTCATCTGACCATTATGAATGAATTTTGAATGATAAAAACACAACGAAAAACAATTTATCAATCTACTTGGTTAAGTTTTGACTTGCATCGATCGTTTCAAGAATTCCATTTCTAGAATCGATCCATTGATAACGATCATTATTAAGATTTCGCTATTAAGAGAGCTATTTTTCAAGTTCAGAAACGGTCGATTTTTTTTTAAATTACATTTTTGATTCAAAAGAAAAAATGACCTACTCATAATAAATATATTAATAGAGCAAGAGAGTAAAGAAAAAAAAATCGAAATTCTAAATTCTTAGCGAAATGTATTCAATGGAAATAATAATCGTCATTAAAACTGAAATTTTAAAATGAAACGCCCATTTTTTTATTGCTGGCAGTATCATTTAAGAAATTTAAGTTTTTCTATTATAACTTCAAACAAATAAAGAATACATGTACATAATTGTTGCCGTAGTCACCAAGATCTTGAAACAATGACGATTTATGTCTATGAAAAGCTAGTTATTCGATGACATTGGTCTGGTATAAGCGTAGCTTACCTTTTGATCATCATCATAATTATTAATTATCGTGTTTTGAAATCAATGGAATCATCCAATTATAATTATGAATAATCAACAAATTAGTCAAGATTCACTATTAATAGTGATATCTTGAATTTAGATGATGAAGATAATTATATGGACAACGGTTACAATGATAATCCAACCTCAAATTCACCTCAAACATCAAGTCCACAATCTGATCAGATTTTAACGGACAAAAGCAAAGAACCATTGTCAGCAGCCATGACACAGCAACATCGAAACCAAAGTATGGCCAACACGGCAGCAACAGTGGCTACAGTTCCTGTGCTCAAATCCATTGTAAATGGTACCAATGTGCATGCTAATTATGTTCATCGGACTGGACCTGTAGATAGTGGCAAGATTCGTATGTTAGTCAATCCGAATTTAATCAAAATTCCGTCCATAATGAATGGATCAATAAACAACAATCAGGTGTTGCCTATAGAGAATCCAGCCAAAAGCTTCGATGTCATATGGAAAGACATTGTATACAGTGTACGACAATTTAATCGAGCCACATTAAAGATGGAGTCACGTAATATATTGAATGGTTTATCGGGCCAAATTAGTAGCAACCAGGTGACAGCAATAATGGGTCCAAGTGGCGCCGGTAAATCTACATTCCTCGAAGTGTTGGCATGTAAGTAAAGAAACTAGTACCAGGTGATAGAATAACTATGAATAACATGACAACATTAAAGGTCGTAAAAATGTTGGCCTAACTGGTTGCTTAAATGTGAGAAACATCAATCAGATTCGAATAGCTTATGTACCACAGAATAATTGCCTCATGGAACTGTTGACTGTTTATGAAACACTTACATTCGCTTGTCGACTGAATTATTCGACAATGCCAACCGTCAATTATAATCGTGTGGAGAAATTGATCACAGAATTTGGCCTGAGCGAAATTCGTGACACTAAAGTGGCTCGTTGTTCCGGTGGCCAACAGAAACGAATTTCAATAGCGCTTGAACTGTTTTCAAAACCAAATTTGTTAATTTTGGACGAGCCAACTACAGGTCTAGATTCGTCCTCATGCTCATTAGTAGTGAAGATAATTCGTGAGCTAGTTCGAAATCCAAAATATCCAATGGCAGTATTGGCCACAATTCATCAGCCATCATGGAGCGTATTTACCGAATTCGATAACGTCTATATCATCAGCCATAAAGGAGAGAATCTTTATCTGGGTCCACCACAAAAATTGTTGCCCTTGTTAGAAAAGATCAATCTGCCATGTGATCGCTATAATTCACCGCCAGATTACATAATAGAAATAGCTGCCGCTGATTATGGCAGTAAACCAATTGAATTAATACAGCAGGAATTTCAAGGACCACAATTGGGAGATGATGAATTGGAACAATTAATGACAATGGCTGAAACTCGAGTTATACGTAAGACTCCATTGTTGAAATCAACATTAATATTATTGAATCGACATGGCATCATATTCAGTCGAAACATGATGATTGTCTTTTATCGAGTGATTGGTATCATATTGCTTAGTGTATGGCTATCGGTTACATTCGGTAATTCGATCGGTGAATCATCCGGTTGTCCCCTTAAAAAGTTGCAATTGTATCATATGCCCATCGATCGACTTAATACACTGTTCGAAGAAGAGGTACTTTCGGTCATGCAAAACAATTGTTGCCTATTCTTCGGCCTGATTGTTGGTCTAATCAGCGGTATAACGACCACCGTGTTGGGTTTTCCTCGTGAGATGCATACATTGATGAAAGAATACAACAATGGCTGGTATTCATGTATCAGTTTCTACGTGACCAAAACCATCATTGACATACCGATGCAGGTAAGACGGTATACCTGCAAACATTAGATCACAATAACTGTCTATACTGTTTTCTCATTTTGAATACGATTAAGTTGGCCATTCCTTCCATTTACACGGTCTACATCTATACATCAACCGGCCAACCGAATCAATATTTTCGCGAAGCATACCTTTTGCTGATCACCATCATGGTAAGTTTCGTGGCTGAAGGTATAGGCGCTGCCGTATCGGCCATTTTATGCGAGAACCAACGACAGCCGCGTTTGCTGCCGGTGCCGTACCGATGCCCATGATATTGTTTGGTGGATTTCTAGTCAAATATTCTCGTATGCCATTTTATATGCAATGGGCTTCTTGGTTATCGTTGATGAAGTATGCCTACGAAGCGATGATCACCTCCATGTACGGCTTTGATCGATGTCAGTATAATTATGAGCTATTTGTCTCTAGAGTTAATGTCAGCGCGATTGAGAAACCAACATGGGCCGAATATTTGCCTTTTATGTTATCCACATTGAATCCAAATGGAGACCAAAATCCAGACGAATCATTAACCGGCATGGATGAAGATGAAATAGCTATTCGCCAGCTATATACAACTGCATTCGATGCGGTAAATGGACGCAATACAAGCAAAGCATTCTCATACGATGTTTCCATTATATTCAGCTATTATAATATCGATGGTGATTGGGTATTGTATAGGTCATTGATAATCATGGTAATCTATTTAATTATTGTTAAAATTATCACTTATTTTGTTATATTGAACAAACTGAAACGAGGTTAACACAATACTTTATTATATTCATCAATAATTCATTGATTTCTTTGATAAATAATCAGTAACACACACACACACACATACATAGGAACTCGTCATTGAACTCGGTTCTGATAATAAAAAAAAATCAAATAATTTTGTTAATCAATTTTGCAAAGAAAAATATCCTGCATTTGTTTGATATATTCATTTATAACAGAAAAAAAGTATTCAATTCTAAGAGAAGCAAAAAAAAACCATAATGTTCATGGCTTCTGTATACAGGAGATTAGCCACTTGACATGACATGACATGTTGATGTCAGATTGTTTAACTTTTAATCACCATATCATGATGCATTCAAATCTGAACTTGATCTGAACAAGAATTGATGCCTGTACTTGGCATCGTTGACCTCAAAAAAAAAAAAAATTCAACAATATAAAAGAAAGGACATTGAGCCTGATTCATTGTATTAAAAAAAAAATTGTGAATGAATGTTTGTGTGTATCAGTAAAGTAAGCGAATTGGTTTATTCGATTCAATCATCATTTTGTACAAACAACGAATGTTTGGCTAAACAATAAATATCCATTCGAATAGAATGAATGATTTAGTTTGCCATTGGCCATATCTTTTTTCTTGTAGGAAAAAAAATGGTTGCAGTATTGTCGTGGCGAAAAGAATGGTAACTGATCTATCTGATGATGATGATGATGATGATGGCCGTCATTATATGGACAGAGGACAGTCATCAATATCACTTCATTTAATGAATGAATGAAATACACAAAGAATATGTTGCTCGATTTGATGGGTGAACCATTGTCATTGGCATCAATTCATTTTTTGTTTTCTTTCTTTTTTTTCAACTTTCCACCACCACCACCACCACCATAATGATGCGATTGAAATTGAATTCAAATTCAACGACGACTACGACGACGACGACGACCAATCATGATGAGTCAAATAGACGATGGTAATAGATAGTTGAATGAATTAATAAATGACTCTAAATTGGATCATGGAATCCTTTATGTTTTCTTCATCGTTCTTGTCCTATCATTGTTGACGATGGATACAATTGTCCACCGAAAAATGTAATGAAATGAATTAGCAATGAGAAATTGGAACATTGTCGTGCTGATCCCATTGATCATTATTTTCATCATCTAAATTGCCAGACTTTTCATTGAAGCAATCACTCTCGGTTTATTCAAATTGAATTTGAAATTGTCATAATGGCCATAGTATGTTACAAGGCAAACTTGGCTTATTAGATTGGAATTTTTTTTGTTTTGTTTCCTCTCTGTCTCACAATCGGTTTCCTTCAACATATACAGCATTTATTCATTGTGAATTAATTTTTATATATATATTGAAACTTGGTGAGAGTTGACATTTTTTTTCGCTGTCGATTTTTTTTGTAATTACAATACATTACAAAAAATTGCATTACAATCTCCAATTTAGAATGAAGCGCCATCTAATATTTTAAACGGTAACAATTCTAAACTGATTTGAAAAATTTTGAAGAATTTACGCCATCTATTGACTTCACAAATATGTTAGATGAAATGATGACAAATTTCTCGAACACTAGATGGCAAAATTATCGATTTGTAAATTTTTTTTTGATTTCAATTTCGATTTCGATTAATTAACCCTTTGCACTCGGATGTCCCGGTAGAGGGGACATTGTAATTCTAACATATAACTCGGATGTCCCGGTAGAGGGGACATTGTAATTCTAACATATAACTCGGATGTCCCCTCTGATGGGACATCATGATTTTAACATATAACTCGGATGTCCCCTCTGATGGGACATTCAAATGTATTAGTGACTATATTAGTGAAAATTAGTGGGATCCACTTATTTTAGCACAACTTTTTGTGAAATGCATTTTTCTTTGAAGTTTTTTGTTGAACTTGCACAAGAAATCAAATCAACATATGGTACAAGTACTAAGGTACATTGGAAAAGAACGTGACGAGTGTGTTCACGATGCAAAATTACTTTTTCAATGTATATTTATATGTGCATGACATTTATATATATTCATAGATTCTCGAACTCGACCGAACTCAAGTGAAAGAATCACCCACTGAATTTCCGCGCCAAAACCAGCATAAAAAAGCTAGCGCAACAAGCAATCATCAATCCTTCTCTGCATTGTGCTCTAATTTTGTATATAATTCACGCAGTCTCTCTTGTATCTTCATTTGTTTTGATTTTTCTTTGCAATAAAATTTCATCATCGTTTGTCTTCTTCAATCTGTGTGCTTGTAAATCATTATTTTCAACAAGTGCAACAATTTCAATTCATCATCGACAACAACTACTGGATCAAAGTCGTTATAACAATTTTATTGGTTATTGGTGGGTAGTGACCGAGCAATTCATCATATAAATAAACAAGTTTCAAACATTGTGAAAATATTTCAATCGTTGCAATTCTGTAATAAGTGACCAAATCGGGAAAGTCTATCATTATCTATAATCTTGGTACCATTTTGTAAGTTAGTAATTTGGTATTTCAAACCAATTTATTTATCCTTTTTCATTAGAACAATGGCCAAACGATCAAATAAGAATGTGTCGCATGACATAAGTAGTAGTGAAGACGAATTTCAAGTAGATGTTTATTCAGACCAGTTGGAAAAACTAAATATTTCCGGAAACGATAGTAGTGATAGTGATATCATCCAACCAGCGAAACAACGAAGAAATTACACTACGAAGAAATTATTGAAAGTGATAGCGATGAAAATAATGATGAAGAAAACACATCGGTATTTGATAGCATATCGTCAAGTGAAGAGTGGATTGAAGTCAATGAATCAAACGATCCTCCAACAACAATAAAATTTAGCGTACATCATGCAACAACCGGTCCACAAATACCAAGAGATGTAAAAGAACCAATGGACTATTTTCGATTATATTTTACGGATGAATTAGTTGAAAATATAATCAAAGAAACAAACAAATATGCTGTGGAAAAAATAAAAAAGAAAGAACTTTCTTCTAAATCATGGCACATGTGGCGCGATGTGACCAAAGGAGAATTTTTTGCTTTCATCACAGTCGTACTGAATATGGGTTTAATTCAAGTCTCGAATTTACAAGAATATTGGTCTACAGATGCCAATAGTAGAATTTCGTTTTTTCCCGATACATTCACCAAGGATAGATTTATGCAAATCTTTTGGATGTTGCATTTAACGAAACCATGTCAAAGTAATTCATCGATAAAAACTCGCATTCAAAAAGCGAGTAATTATCTCGAATATTTGGATTGTAAATTTCGGCAGCACTTCATTCCAGATAAGGCGATTTCTGTTGACGAATCAGTTGTGAAATTCAAAGGGAGAATATCCTTTATCACATACAACCCGAATAAACCAACCAAATGGGGTATGCGCATATATTCGCTTTCTGATTCAAAAACAGGATATCTATTTTCGATCTAATGACCTTTTTCAGCCTGATCTTCCAGTAACCACCAGGATTCCGTTACATTTGTATAAAAAGTTGTTAGAAAGAATTCCTGATGCAAAAGGATATCATATGTATACCGACAGATATTACACCAGCATTTTCTTGGCCGAAGAATTACTAAAAATGAACCTATGAATGAATATACACCTACCCAAATCAAAAAGCCAAGGTTTTCAACAAAAAAAATTGTAGCTTATCGAAAAAATGGCATCACACTCCTCGTATTATTGTGACACTTGTCCCAACAAGCCGACGATACACATCGGTAATTGTTTCGAAATTTACCATACAAAAAAAAATTATAAATAAATTATTATTTTTTTTGAAAATATGTTTCTCGATATCTATAAATTCATATATTCTCGATGTCCATAAATTTATATAAACCTTACATGGCTCCAATAATATGATCTTTCATAATTGTACATTTTTGTCATAAAACAGCTTCGAGTAGCGGATGCACAACATTCAAAATAGTGTCGAGTAGCGCATGCACAACATTCGAAATAGTGCCGAGTAGCATATATGTAACTTTCGGTTTGATGCCGAGTGCAAAGGGTTAATGAATAAAATCACGGCTAACGATTGAAACATTTATTATGAGCAAAATAAAGATGAAAAATAAAACAATATAATAATACAGGGCCCGATGGCCAATACTCAAGTATCACATGTAATTTACGAAATCCAAACTGATCACGAATCAATCTGTTCTGAGGATTTTTCATTACTCAACGGTTTCTTGTATTTAACGTAAGGTCCATAGATATCGAAACCTAATGAAACAATGTTGTCGAATAATATACGATATCGCAGTGGTAATAGGGCAAAATTGATCAATTGAGCTGGTGGCCAAATAAGCCATTCAACCACATAAATGTTTTCCATGCCTTTTTCCAGCAATTCTTGACGGAATTGTTTCCATCCAGAACGTTCGCATAACGAAAGAGTACCAAAATAGACTATAAACAATGCACACTTTTATAATCATAAATGTCATTATTATAATAAACCATGATCATTACATACCAAATAAATTGACCGGGCTGAATAGAATTTGATCTAACAAAACCAATTTGATCAATGTAGCAGGACGACGACGATTTACTTTACCATAAACACGTTCCAACAATAGATACCAATAATGAGTAAGAACACCTGTGCTCAAACCAGCAATGGTCATATGAATGGTTCTGGTAGTCGAATAGGCAAGTTTTTTCGATTCACAACCACGATTTTCATCTTTTTTGTGAACGGAATTTATTAAAATATCAAAATTCTGTTGTATAGAATCACCGAAGGCACCCATGGAAGCCGAAATCAGAGCATTGGTGAGCAATAGATTACGACGGCCGAAAATGACCGAATGAATGAATCCAGTTGTACGTTGTATTCGATTACATACCGTATTCAAAACACTCCATGTAATGGCTCGCATTTCTTTCCAATCGATTCAATTAACAGATCAATATTATTTCGAATGAATCGAATTCAAATTCGGCCAAATTCGAAATAAAATATGTTTGTGGCACCAGTAAATCTGTACACATATGGTATGAATAACACGTGATTCTGGTAAAGTTTCCCATTGCATTCGCAAAGATTAATTGTGAAAACATTTCTTCAATTCTAATTCATAATTCATAATATGATGATAAATTTAATTCAAAAAAAATGCATTAGCTCATCATCTTTTTATCGATTTTTTGTTCAAAAAAAAAAAAAAAAATAATAATAATAATTGCTCACCTGAGGCGAAATCTTTTTACATTTTTCTCATGCAATTTATACGTCTATTAATCGATGAAAGGGGTAAAAAAAATGGGGATGACACAATATAAAAAAAACATGATGATGTTGTTGCTTTACGTGATTTTTCAGCAGTATCCTTCTCTTTCTCACATTGAGCAGTAATGATTAAGGTATGAAATATGAAACAAGTCACACACACACACCATTGTTCATATATACGAAGCAAAAGTGATTCGCTTACAAAATCGACGACAATAAAAAGAAAGAAAAAAGAAAGAGGTTTGTTTTGGCCTCGAAAATTAACATTAAAAATGTGTTCGCCAAACTTCTTTGCCATCATCATCATATCAAATGATGTCTACCATATCGAAGACAATTGCTTCGCTATGTGTGTGAGAAGCTATACAAGAAATAAAGTAACCATATAATAATAATCAACAACAAGTAAGATCAGCCTTTTTGGCCTATTCGATGCTTGAATGCATTCTGGCACCATTGGCTATAGCAGTGATAGTCGAAAAAAAAAACAAAAATCATTATTGAATTCAAATGACGCCTCTTTTTTTTACCTGTTTGTTTCTAAAAATTGACAACGATCGGATGGAAAAAATAAGCACATTTTTGTTTTGTTATGGATAAAACTGGATTTCCTATCTATATTATCTTACATTTGGGCGATTCTAAGTTACTTGTCTACCAATCATTACTTTGACATAAAATTCAATTTTTTTTTTCTGAATCAATCTTAGAATAATCAATAATCAACATTCTAATGAATGTATTAATTTGAAAATTGATACATGTGCTAGACATTTTTCAGACATTAGATGTTTGTATGAATGAATGAATGAATGAATGAATGAAAGAAAGAAAGGAAACAATTACCTTGAACAAAGCAATACTACTTCTTATAAAGTCATATTGGCCAACAGCAATTGCAGCAATGGTTCCCATTGGAAGCGAAATACGATCGTTGATTATATGTTAGCATTTTATAATCTAATGACAATAATGGCCTCGGCTTGATGATCATAGTTTTGAGATGATGATGATTCTTTTGAAACTCTTGTTTGTCGTCTAGCTTTTGTCTATAGTTTACGAATCAATTCATTCATCCATCCATCCATCCATCCATCCAAAATTTGAATACATTGAGCTAATCATCGACCATTGTCTTGTCATGTTATGTGTGCATGATGCATAAAAAAAACACCTTATTATTCATTGACGATTAAAATCGATTTAGATGTTCATCCACCACACTATGGTATGATACATTCCATGACATTCGTATTCAATCGATCGATTCGTAAATATGAAACTGATTCGTTCATCAATTCATCCATCCATATCCATATCATCATTTCATTTTATACTTTTAAATATCATTTCCGTTAACCATATGAACGCATGCGTCATAAACATTAGTTGTTACATTGTAACATTAACAAACACAATCCATAATATATATATATTATATTTTAAACAACAGTCAAAAAATATTATAACCAGGCAAAGTTTCCAATAACACAAAAGAAAAGAAAATTTGGTTTTTATATGAAACCATGAGCGCCATGTGTGTGTGTGTGTGTGTTTGTGTGATGGAGCAGTTCCAATCGAATCGGTTGAATCCATTGAATTGAAGCCATTGATGCATGCAACATGAGGATCTAATACAATGGCACAAACAGAAATATACACAGAAACAGGCAAAGCACGGGTAAAGTTTTTTTTTTTTTTTTTGATGAAAAACTTGAAAGGTGATGGCAGTGTTTGTTGTGTTTTGTGTTTGTATGCAATGTTGGCCATTGTGTGTTGTTTAAACACATATTACACGACGAACAGCTAGCTGCAAACAAAAATATATGAAGATACGATATCAGCCAGTTACTGAGAGGCTGAGTAACTTGGAATGGCTTTTTTTTGGATCCAGTCTCCAACTAGTAGTCGTAGTGTGAACTTCGATCATTGAGTAAAATAGTTTTGCACGGGTGAAACACATAGGCAACATTTTAGTAAAAAAAAAAAAAGAAAAAAATCACCCGCCGTCACAACAATCGGTTTCCAAGTCCAAGTTTTGTGTTTATTTGTATGTATGTCTGTGTTTGACACAACGAATTGTTCGGCAACAGTTTTTGTTTTTTATTTATCATTCTGTTTCTGTGTTTATTGTCATCATCAATTGTTTTAAAACTTTTGATGATTCTGATTAGTTCACTGATTGTGAAAAATTTGTTATTGCAATCATCTTTGGGATACATACAATTGAACAAAAAATCATCACAATTCATCATAATCATTAAATGTGAAAATTCAACTCAGGGATTCAAATTTGAATTGATATTTTTTTCTGGGTTTTTTTTTTTTTTGGCAACATGTGTCCCTAAATTAAAATTAAGGCTTGTTGTTTGTTTTGAATTAAAAATGTTTTTTTTTTCGTCTGAATTGATAAGCCATATCTCAATGTTGAATGTTGGATGTATGATGAATGATTGAGTTTTGTTCTGAATGTTTGAATTTGATGAAAAATAACAACAACAACAACAACAACAACAATGAGCTTCTTCATCACTTTGGATCAATCATCAATCCATTTCGAACAATAATGATAATCTTACATTTATGAATAGACACTATTGAATATGTATGTTTGGCAAAATTATTTTATGGTTCAACAAAAGTTTGTCACCGGAAAAAAAATTGCTAAAAATAGAAATGTCAAATGTCGATGTCAACATGACCATTCTAACAAAAGTGTTTGATGAGAATGTTTTTTTTTCTTCTTCTTCTTTTTCTCAAGAATGATCATCATTCTGGTTAATGATGATCATTTTTTTTTTTTTTTTTGAGTGAAAAAATAGATTACATCAATCATAGCCAAAAACAAAAATATTGCCGGGAATGAGAATCAAATTTGAATATAATCTTATCTTTTCTCTCTCTCTCTCTCTCACACACACACACTTGTAATTTATATGCATTCAAAATGATGCCATTCGAACATGATATTGTCACCACACTCTCTCTCTATTCATTTATTGCCATCAGTTTTATATATAATAAATGTATATAAAATGGCTACATGCCAATATATTTATGTTATGAAAATTCATTTATGATCACTAGAATGTTAGAATGGCTAGTGACCAGAGCTTTGAATCAAAGACATTTTATAAGGAGTGTTATATATGTGTTCATATAACAAAATTAATCATAATAATAAGAGCACATCATTTGGAATATTATATAATAATTTAGTAGTGTATGAGACAATCAGTATTAAATCATTTTGAAAACCGGGTACATATAAATCATATTATAGTCGTTTTTTTATATATAATGTGGATGATAATGATAATCATTAGGCTTGACTTGATGGCTACTCATCATCATATGAGCCAGAGGCAAAAGCAAAAAAAAGAAAAATAAAAATGGAATCTATTTGAATGAATTACATAATTGTATACAATATAACGAATAGTATGATGTGGATAACAAAAGATTTGGTTATTATAAAGATATAACACTACTTAAACACACATAAATCGAATTTTTCTTCTCATAATCACGATATATCCATAACGTTTAAAGATTAACATCTTTAGCTTTGATCCATTTTTGAACAGTACCACCGGAAATTGTTTTTTTTTTTCTTGTTGTTGTTGATTACAAAAAAAAATTGTTTCAATTTCTGATGATTCACACACACACACACGCACACACATAGATATATGATTGGTCAATTAGTCCATCAACGCTATAATTATTGTGATTGCAAGTATCGTGTGTGTCACACACACGTTTGTTTGTCACACACACACACACACATAAAAAAAACTGAAAAACCTAATCAAATTTCCCTAATGGCTTTTTTTGTTTTGTTTCATATTCTCTCAGTTTCTCACATTTTATTCATATAGTTTTTTTTGCCGTATATATTGTGACCCAGAAAACCCAAAAAAAAAAATGATGATCCCAATTCACATTATTTTTTTTTTTTTTTGTTTTGTTTTGGTGATCGGTTATTTTCTCTTTGATAATACAACGGCCACACACACACACACACACGCATTGAAATATTTTTTTTTTTATATATTATTCGTGGGAATCATCGATAACTCATAGATCATTCAGAAAGATTCATTCATTCATTGAAAAAAATAACTAAAATAAATTACGAATAATAATTTACTTTACGTTACTTTGCTCTATGTGTATGTGTGTGCTGTTATTAATTACTTGTTCTTTTATATAATCACCATAGCCATAATCATAATTCTTGGGCAAAAGATTGTTCGATCAATCGATCGGTTGGTTGGTTCGTTGGTTCGTTCGTTCGTTGGTATAATCAATCATTGTGTTTGGCGGCTCCAATTCAAATCAAACATGTCCATTACTATGCCATTGCTGCCAGATAATGAAGACCATAACAACAACAGCCAATACATCAATAACCAGTAGAAAGGGCAAACCTTTCTGCTTTATGATCATCATCTTCATCATTATCATCATAATGGTGGGTCCATTCACAATTACTCAATCGTTGTTGTTCTTATAATTGTCCATCAATGACCACCATCAGTGAACAATCGAATAACCGCCAACAACAAATCAACCATCTCCCTTTTTTTTTATCGATAACCTTGAGTAATTTGCAATATTCGAATTTCAATTGATCGCAACATGCCATTCGCCAAGTGGAATCTCGAACCAGTATATGTTTCTCGGACATTACCATGGGCATCGGCTGTGGCGGCTGCCGCAGCAGCTGCTTCTGCTACAACAACAAATTCAAATGGTCAAAATTCTCATCATCATGATCAGATTAAACGGAAGGCCAAATCGTCGGCAGTACCACCAGTTCTGCCTGCAATACCGAATTTTAAAACACCGAAAAATACAAGAACAAAGGTCAAAGTTAATAGTGAGAGTTTTCGGGGTAATGACCATGTGAATGATTGTGAAAAACACCATGATGAATCAATGATGAATGGTCATAGCCATGAATCAAATGGCAATAGTCATCTAAGTGATGATGAGGATGACATTATGGCACAAAATGATGATCAACAATTGACAACACCGATGATCATTGAGTCTATGAATGGTGGGAGTGGAAACGATATGACCGATGATGAACAAGTGTTGCTCAAAATACATAATCGAACATTGGTTGGCATTATACAACAAATGGCATCATTACTATATACAGCCGATCAACTATTTGCTGAAATGACCGATGAATGTCGAAAAATGTTTGATCGTAGTGTACGGATACGATCACGTTTTAATAAATTGATTATCGATATCGATCATCTTAATCACAAAATGCGTCATTCAGGTAGGTCAAATCAATTGTGAATACCATAAAAAAAATTCCAATCATTCACACACACATACATGGTTAGATTATCAATTCGTTTGTTTATTTATCATCAGAGATTTATATAAATAATATTCATCATCATAAAACAAATAAATAGATTTTTTTTTGACAAACAGACAGGCTTTGGGAGCTTACCGTAAAACGTAAATCGCATATCATACATACATGTACACACATAAACACAAACAAACCAAACGAAACGAAACCAAACAGGGAAAGACATCTCAATATAATCGGATTTATTAAGTCAACCAAAAAAAAAAAAATTGATCATATCAAATCATTACTTTTAGCCACATTTATATATTGAGGTCTTCCCTTGTTGCCGTTATAATATTTTATCACCTGTCTAAATAATAAATGCCAATGTGTCTGTATTATATTTGTTTATGATCTGATGGATGATATATACAAGATTATAAAACATCATATATGATGATGGCAGCAATTACGGAAACATTGCGCCCAGAAATAAATAAATAAAAAAAATATCGGAATAGATAACATATTTCTCAAATATTATGTGTGTGTGTGTGTGTATGTGTTTAATGTTCAAATCGTTAAATCAACATATTATATAACACCAATTCTATTCGAAATTGATGAATAACATCATTTATAGTTTGTTAGAATTTTTATTTCAATTTGATTGATGATTAATGTTGTACATTGGTTTATAAATTAATTTCCACTGTATAATCGGTCATTGGATCATTTCTCGAAATTAACTCTCTCTCCCTCGCTATCGATCATTGACATTGCAATCTTTTGATCACAATTCGATGGAATTGATTAATCAATCGATTCTTTTCAATAAATGACTGATCAATTTAATTAAATCAAAATTGTTGTATATTCAGTTTGTTTTTTTTTCACATGTGAATTGAAGTTTTGACAGCTTGATACATACACACACTGACAAAAACAACAGGAACCAAAGTTCAGGCCAATCAAATCAATTTACTTTTTCAAATATAACAGGTGAATATCGTGTGTGTGTGTGTGTATGTGTGTCTATGTTCATTTACAGGTTTTGATTTTGGTGATACATACTGTGTTTCGATGATTATCCTTTCAATCATCATACAAACAAACACAACATTCTTCCTTGTGATATTTGCTTCATCATTTCGATTTCGAAATCGATTAAGAAAAATATTTCTACTTGCCCAAATGAATAGCTGAAATGTTTCACTCGTTGTAATCATTGTTGATCATAATGATCTTTGATCTGCCGAGTTAAGCTAAACAAAATTTTGATGTATGACTTGAACATTATATAGAAATCGACCTAATATGTTATGGTTCATAGTCCATTATTATTATGGAAAAAATTACAATAATGAATGCCATTGATGTTTGCTTGGAATAATGTGAGGAAACATGAATACTTTTTTATACATACATACGGTGGCCATATTTTCTATCTAATCCTTTCATCATCATCATCATCATCATCATACATGACCTTTCACCTTTCAAAAGGTTAAACAATAAAGCGTTGTATATGAACACGAATCAATTGTTTCGGTTTTCATGACTTGGTTGGATTTTTCCTATTTAACTGCTTGATTGGTGGAAGAGTTGTTCAATTTAAAATCCGGTTTTAGGCCATCTCATACGCGTCCTTCGTTCTGGTTGTATTTGAGAATGATAGATGCATATGAAGCACCTTTATCTTGTCCTCCTTTTTCTTTTCTTTTTTTTCTTTTGCTTGCCTCGCCTTCGCCCTTTCACCTGCGCGCGCCAAGTAGATGGCTGGCTCTAATTTGTTCCATGTGTATTTCTGGTTGGTCTAGAATCGAGCATGAGTTTAAAGTTGAATCAATGGATTCACAATCACTATGATGATAACCAGATGTAAGAGACTGCCATTTGTTCTGTCATTTGTATTGTCATGATCGTGATATGAACCAGTCGAATAAAATCAATCTCCATATGATTGTTCGGTTATTATCCATGAGCATAATTCAATCCGTAAAATAAGCTTGATTATCATTACATTGTGCCATTTAGTGCAATTGCGTAATCTATGTTTGTGGAGCTTTCATCCAAGATTCAAAAGCAACAAAAATTGCATCCGTTGCATTCAATGATCTTATTGTTAAGGTCTGTTTTTTGTCGTAGATCTGGGTCAAAGGTTGAAACCTAGGGTCTTAGATCTTATAGTTTATTCGAGCTGACACATGGTACAATTATATGACGTGTTGGGGTATAATTTGCTTTGATTTGGATGAAAACTTTGCCTTAACAAATAATAAATATATGATGAATAAAGCTAACGATAGGATGTGATGTCGCGTGGCTTTTTTTTTATTTACATCAATGAATGTGATGTGGTAAATCCAATTTTGGCGGTTATTATTGCACCAGATTGTCTGACATGAATGACTTTGAGTGCAGGAGAAGTCCAGGTGTTTGCTGTCGATGTCGTTTTGGACGGGTGTGGTTCAATGATAATCAGCCACATACTTTGGTGCAGACTGACATACCGTACCATTCAGTTTTTGTAATTTTCATTGTCTGACCTTGGTATTTGACATTTTGATCGTCACCAATGCTTTTGGTCATCATTATGACCTTATATCGGCTACTCATTACCACTACAACTTTATTTAAAAAAAAACAGCAATGCCATTCTACAGCCTACACACACACACACACACACTTATACACATTAGGATTAAGGAACTTGAATTGTATCCTGCAGCCAATTCTTCTAATCCAGTCAAAAATACCGGCATCAAAAAAAAAAAAAAAATACAAACGGACTATTCGATCTTGATTAATGAAACAAAAACAGAAATGAGAACTATCTAACTACTACTACTTTTAGTGTTAAAGTTGTTATATTTTACCACAGTGAGTGGGCGACTGATAATATTCAAGCCTATCATTTTAAACAAATAATAAAATGATTCGTGCTTTAGTAATCTTCATCATTATCATCATCATCAGCAGCAGCAGCGATAGAAGGGTCGAACATACACACACACACACACACAAAAACATCAAAAGTATATGTAAACAATTAAACTCTTAAAATTCCTGATTCCTGATGATAATGTAGATGACCTTCTTCTATCTGACCAAACTAATTGCTTTATTATCATAGATATATACTATCACCATCATTATTATGTCCAAATTGTATATCGAATCATACAAAAAGAGAAAATAAAAAAAACAAATTTGTGTACTAGTCTTTGTATTTGTATTTGTGTATGATCGATATGATTAGAACACAAAACCAAAAAAACAAGAACAAGAAAATCAAATAATCAGAATATATATATATAAACTATTTGATGATATAATAATGATGATTAATACCGGTAATCGATAACACGCATGACACCGATTTGAGATTTTTGTATATCATCAGTTTATTAATCAATGTAAAATTGATTAAAGTCAACGCCTGTTATTGTGTGTGTGTCAATCTGTGATGAATACCGGGAGCCAAATGAAAGTGATCATCACAAACTACTTCTACTACCATAATAATTGTTTATTGTTATTGTTATTTGAGATGAATGATAAACAAACAAACAAATAAAATGGAACATTGTTCTCTCGTATGTTCCATTCGAATTGTCATACAAAACAGAAAAAAATAGCTATTTGATTAATGAATTTTGTTTTTTAGTTGAAAATATTATTAATTGAGTCTGTATGTTCAATGAAGCGGTACAAAATTTATATGATTACGCAATAATCGAACCAGTTGCAATTTCATAATTGTCATCAAATCGATTGAAATTGTGTGTAATGTAATTGGGAAACAAAAGATGGAAAATTTTTTTAGGAATCCAGGATGGTTGCCTAAAAAGATTTTTTTGTTTGTTTGTTTGTTCATAGACACGCGATGAATTTTTGTTTTTTTTTGTTCTGTCAAAATTGTTTGAGTAAAAAAAAAACATTTGGCTAGCCTGTCATCATGATGGTTTCGAATGCACACATTCTCACATGACATATAACCGGAGAAATTTATTTTAAGAAAAAAAAAACAATGTTAGTCACAATCAAACAATACTATACAAAATAACAAAATGTGTTTTTTCTATTTATAAACCCATACTACTATTATTATCGGATTTACTATAGTTGCTAGTTTTAGATATATTGTCACACTAAAATCTAATGACATCTTTGTATGAAAATGAAATTCAACATCATCATCATCATCATGATTCATTTTTATGATTCATTCACTACTTATTCATCCAAAAATATCTTAAAATTGGCTACTTATTTCATTCACACACACACACACACACACACATTGATGATGATGATGATGATGGACAAGTATATATTTTACCAATGATGGCATTGTTTCTCAATGAATTGACATCATCATAATGATGATGATGATGATGATGAGACACGTGACTCTTTTTTTTGATATATCTGTGTAACATACTACATGTTACACGTGTTGCATCATTGTTCCAACACTATCATTATGAAGATAATAATAATAATAATGATGATGATGATGATGATGGCTATGTTATTATCCTCCAAACATTATGATGAATGTTGTTTCTCAGAGATTCAATTTTTCATTTTTTTTTTGTTTTTTTCTTTTTTACAGTTCCAACAATTGGTCACATATCCGACTACTGCAATCAGTTTCAACAACAACAACAGCAGCAGCAGCAAATGGATCCTATTGTAATGATTGGAAATGTTCCACATCAACTAAAATGTTTGAATCAAGTAATTTATCTTAAATCAGCTCAAAATCAACAACATTCATCATTATCAGGTCATCATTGGAAAAGTTCGAGGTCATTAGATCGTTCTCTATTTACCATTGATAGTCGGCCAGTTTCGATTCGTGATTTATATGCACGTGCACATGCACCCGGTGATGTACGCCTTTCGTGTTCAATATTCTCGCCATTCATACAATCCTCACCATGGTTGAATGTCAATCAACATCAACAACATAGGCCAATTACATTATTATCATCAGAAAATATGACTAAAATAGATATTGATCGGAAAAAGAAACAATCACAATGCCAATGTCATTGTGGCCAATGCCATACATTACCAGCATCAAATACCGGTGATAATCTGGGTGTTGATTCCAGTATGGTCGAATCATCTTCTAGTCGTGAGCATAATCATAACACTCAATGTGAATATTGTCATCATACTACGGGCATTGTATCCAATGAATCTAATTCTTCCACATCATCTGCCTCATCTTCATCAGTTGTTACCTGGTCATCGGTCACTTCTTCAACATTTGAACCAATTGCTTCAGCATCACACTGTCAACATAGAAGTGAACAGAAAAGTTTAATACGATCGTCAAAAGCCAAAGTGACACCCATGTCTTCCTTTTTATCATCCGGTGATTACTATCCAAACAATGATGATGATACTTCCAAATCAAATCATAGTCAACCTATAGCAGCTGCCACCAAAACTATTGATGATTTTTTCCGAAAAAATAATGTCAATTTACATGAAAATGGACAAGAATCCAGAACCCGATGTATTTGTTCATGTGATCAATCTGATCAACAATCAACATCTATCATGGAATTATCTCGTCAGGCCAGTTCTAATGCAACAATTAATCAATCTGTATCAATGGCAACAGCAGCAGCTATGGCCATGGGAACACCAGCTGCAGCAACTACTTTACCCGATTATTGGTATTGGCGGTGGCTTATGGAATCCAATTATACAGGTGTTCCAAATGCAAGTCATAGAATGACCGATGGTGCCTCGAATAGCAATTTCAATCGAAACGGTTCTGGCCATTATAATCATAAACGATGGTCATCGGCATTAACCGGTTCATCACCGTTAAAACCCACGTTGTTGGATGAAATGACCATATGGCTTCGAGAGAATATTGAAACTCGCCGGGTAAGTTGTTTTTTTCATGATCACTTCTAATCCTATTCTATTATATTGTAGCCCGAGAGCATTGTTATCAAATCGGCATCTGAATTACCTGAACATGTTTTATTGGAAAGAGCATTAAGTCCGCCGTGTTCATCACATTCAATTACTTTACGGCGTCATCATTCAAAATCATCGATTATCAATGATGAACAAGATGATGAAAATGAAAAGCAGCTACCGAAATTAAAACGTCGTTGGTCATTACTTCCACTACGACGGTTATCTAAACGTTGGCGTATGGTGAATGATAATAATCGAACTAATCGTTTAAGTTTGGCTATAGATGGCTCACTTTCCGATAATGAACGAATTGAACGTAAAAAATTGTTATTACGCAGCCAATCTAGTCATGAACATAATGATCGTGATATCCATACATCAGTTCCTAGTGACAATAATGATGAAGATGATGATCCAAAAGAAATAATATTAATGTCACCTGAAGAAAGAGACCAATTACTGGCCAAACAATTTTCTGATCCACAAACTGTCTCCATCGATGTTTCTGGACGTTCATTTGATCGTTTATCTAATACACGACGATCATTGATACATGTATGTTCACATTTTCGATTAGATTGATTTTTATAATTTTTTTTTCTGTTTTACAGTCAGAATTTCATGTACCACGTAATAAGATCCCGGGCTATCATTCACAACGGAGATCTCGTTCTAAATCACCTCATGTTAGTTCTCGTCATACGAACAATACTATGGTATCGCCTTATGCTCTTGGACATTGCACTGATCCATCTAATATCTATAAAAATCAAGCGCAACAAACGCCCTTGCAGTCAGGAACAAGGAAAATTATTGCCATTGAGAAAGGATGCCAAACAGATAATAATCTGCTCGTGATCATGGATGCAGCATTGCGAAACTCAAAAACTAACAACAATCGATTTGTTGTGCCGATAGAAGTTCATCGCAACCACAATGATTTGATAATAACTGACCATCAACCACATAAAGAAGCTCGACGGCAGCCATATAATGATGACGATGCAGATGATGATATAGATGATTATGATGACTATGATGATGATGAAGATGATGAATATGTGGTTATAAGGAAACGATATCACCAAACGTCAAATCATAGAAAAGCCAGAATCGATGATACTACCTCTTCGAATGCATCAATGGAATTAGGCATTTCATGGCGCAATCGTGTTTCTCTCATGAAGCCAATGGTTCCAGGAAACTGTTCGATTGCTACCCAATCTGCATCTATTATCGATCAAGCCAACCATGGAATACATGAACAACAGAATCATCCTTCGATTTCCGTACAAACAGCCAATACTACTCCAATGACCACAAGTACCACTTCGACTACAGTCACAGCTATAATTGAAAATAACGAAATGAAAAAGGATTCTGGAACGGCAAGCAGTAAGCAAAATGGAGCTCGTTCATCAAGCGGAAATTGGAGTGCAGCAACCAGTGATTTGATACCTTCGTCTTCTTCTTCTTCATCGCCACCATTGAATGTACCGTTGGTTTCAAAAAATGAGAATAAAAACCAACAGCAACAACGACGTAACCTCCGAACACAACACTTGGATCCAACAACAACTGCTGTCACAAATAATAACGCTGAAGAAGCAGAATCTGTGTATTCTGTAGACAATGATGGCTACTATACTTCAATGCATACAGATTCTGGTTTGTTCATGTTGGGTAATTATTGTAATCAAGCTTTACCATTGTCAACGGTCAACGCTAAGACCAAAACCAGTACATTTACTAGTCAGACTAGCCTGGCTAAACGGCAACAACATTTACAACAACAACAGCAAAGACGATTATTGGATTCCACCGAATCATATCGATTCAATTTGGCATTACCTCTTCAACAACAGCATCGTTGGAAACGTTTGAATGCTACAATGGCTAACCATCAAACGCAGCAATCAGCAGTCTCACCCACAACCAACAAGAAAGACATTAAATTGGCCAATATCAAACATAATGATGAAGAAGAAAAAAATACAGATATCAAGAAAAATTTGAGAGCAAACGAAACTAGCAATTCTTTGAGACGATCCTCACAGGAAGAATTTGGATCGAATCTATCAATAAATTCGATACTATCAAACAGTGATGCTTGTGATACATCAACAGCAGCCATGGATCATGTTAGTTTTGGTACCTGTAATTCATCCATGGTGGATTTCGATTGTTCTGTGTCACATTGTTCACATCAACAACAACAATCTCATTGTAGTAAACAACAACAGGGTTCGAGATCGTACGGTACCAATGGTGGTTATATTCGTAATAGTCAATCAGGTCGCTTACGTACTGCTTCCGGTACATATCAAGAAGATGAAACTGGTACTACTACCTGTACTGGAACTATTCGTTCAAGTTCCAGTTCAGAAACATTGCATACGAATGATTATGAAGAAGAGCCGATGCATGATGATATGAGGACCAATGATCGTAGTCATATACAGAAACCACATCGAAATTATCATTCATTATCAGCAGTCAAGATTAATCATCCATCAACATCGACCGTGACCACTGCCGGAACTGTCAACATTTCGAAACATAAGAAAATTCAACGTTACACTAGTCTAACCGAAAGTAGTAGTGCATCGAGTAGTTGTAGAAAATTGCCACCACCACCACCTCCTCCACGAGTATCGAGCATGTTACGAACATTGCAAAAGTATAACACGAAACGGACCACTAACAAACGACTATCAACCGATGCTGCCGATGGTTGTAATCAAACAACCAATCGAAATAGTTCATCAACAACAAATGATCATCAGATTGTATCGCAGCGAACATCAGATACATCGGGAAATCAAAGTCACGATGTATCCATTGGATCGGAAAGTAATTCTGAATATTTGTTACAATCAATCCACGATGAAAGACGACGGAGATTGTTTCTGGATGTCGATACAAATCGTTCATATCCACCCTTATCCTATATTGTCTATGATCAATTGACTGATACAGCAACATCGGTCAGTATTCCCAGTTCAGTTTGTTTTGATGATGAACCAGGTAAAGATGAACAAGAATCAGGAAGTACAGATCAAGCTTCAAATGAGGAAAACGACCAGATTTCAAAACAAAACAAAACTTTTAAAACATCAGATGCAATGAGCAATCGAACTATAACTCCTGTGGCGGATCAAGATCAGGATAATGAAGACATTCAATCACAGCAACATCCACAAGCTACGAAAAAACAGCTAGAACATCGACATCTTTCATCACCATTACCACCACCGAAATTGGATTCATTTAAATTGAATCATAACAATAGTAGCCATCGACAAAATCGTCACCATCGTTCATATCAAAGTCGATATCAATCTACATCACCTTCAACAACAAGAAAAATTCAGGATTCTAATCAGCTCTCATCCACATCGTCATTGACATCTTCATCAACGATCAAAGCTCCATCTTCTCCAGAAACCATACCGAAACCAAAGCCACGTAACTCATTGATTCTCTGTTCCATTAACACTACCTCTACATCGACAGCTACAACACCCCCATCATCAGTGATGAGCAGCATTACATTCTCTACGAGTACTTGTTCATCCACTGGGGGTGCATTTAGTTCGCCCGATTCTACTAATACGACTGTTACTGCCATTAATGCCAGATCAGCTAAAGATGAAGACCATCAATATCAACAGGATACAGATACCAAGCAAAGCGATTCAATAACACCCACAAAACTCCTTCATCGCCCATGTCATTAATGAGACATTCTAGTAGACGTTTGACAACTGAAGATTTATTCATAATTTTGCATAATTCAAAAAAACGACATAATATTCGTGCTGATCCACAGCTATTTCCTCCATCACAACGATTATCATCACCTAATAGTCAATGTAGCAGCTCACCTGGTCCTCGATCACCTATGAGTCCAGTTTATGGCCATCAAAGTGAGTCATCATCATCGCCACCAACGACAATGGCCATGACTACTGAAGAGAATTTACAGGCTATAGAATCAATAAAACGTCGATCATGGACCAGTGGAACTGATTGTAGCTCACACACATCATCAAATAAAAATTGTGGCCGAACACGACAAAGTTTAGCTTCCGATCGATTAGGACCAATAAGACCAACTACGTTAAACGATTTCAAACGATTGTTGGCACAGGTCAGACCATCGTTGGTAACATCCAATAGTTCTAGTAGTTCCAATTCCAATTTAGCTATTTCCACAACCGCAGCAGCAGCAGCATCCACGTACACTGCTTTGCAACAAATTCTCAACAAATCACCCAATTCTAATTCAACTCAACATCAAAACCAATCACCAACAACAAATGCATCTGTATCGCAACCACTTTCGGCTTCATCTCCAACTTCATCGGGAATTAGCTCATTATCATCGATGTCTTCACCCATATGCAGCCCAATGTCACCGATTAAATCAGCCATTATGGTTACATCCAATAGTTCAACACATGGATCACCTGAAACATCGAAGCCAACAATCACAACAACAACAACAACAACAAACACACAGGCCAATCAATCAATGACGAATTTTATCAAAAAATTCTCAAAATCCAAATTTCTATCTCAAGTATACACTAATTCGACTGATCGAATAATGACTACCGGTGTGATTGGAACTGGCACGAGCACAGCATGTATAGGTATTGGACACCGAAATTCATCGATCGGTGTTAGATGTCCACCAATACCAGAAGATGATTCGGTCATAACAACAGCAACCAAAATCAATACCAATATGCCTAATACGGATGATAAATCTGACATGGCATCAACACCAACGGGACAAGTACATAATTGTACAAGTACTTGGGTTTAATTACTTTATCCACTCATCACAATCATACAAACATTCTATTGAACAGGTGAATTTATTCAAATTAATTTTCATTCAATTCACTAAATGCATTCTTTTTTTTTCACAGATTGTTTGAAAATAATCTCATCATAGTCATCATTATAATATCTGTCCAATCTGCAATGACAATGTTCGTCTGAATATCGTTTGGTCGATGAAAAAAACATTTGCTTCGAATATTTGGTTGGTGTTTCGATATTCGAATTGATCGAAAATCATACAATTAATTGATGTAAATGGCTCGCTAAACTTTTAGACGTTATTAATGCATTGTTACAATTGTCAGATGATTTTCAATTTGTTCTGTTCTGTAAATTATTACCACCGATTCTGATTCTATCGTTACGATTGTAAACTGACTTTAACCAACAATGTTCCATTATTCTCTACTTATCATATCCGATTATATACTCAACATTCATGGATCTTTTATTTTGCTTTGATTCAAATATTAAATAATAAATAATAAACCATATATTCATTGAATATATATCGTTTGAATGTGAATTTATTTGATTCAGATAAATAACAATCATATATAACCACGGACAATAGATGACGCCACATTCATTTTATTTTCATTATTTTTATTTGATCAAAGTCATTGACATGGTAATTGAACATGGAATATAGAGGAGAGAAAAAAATTTTGAAAACACGCGCTTTCACTATAATAATCATGGATTAAATTTAAGCAAAAGAGAGAAAAAAATATAGAATAACTATCTAGAATGTAAGATTCGATTGAAAGAATATAAAGCTTGGTGAATGCCAAATGCCATTTGGCTGTTGTGGTCATGCTGATGTAACTACCATTGATGATGATGATGATGATGATGGCCATTATATGGTATACATCAAAGGACCAGATGCCGACATCATCATCATCATCATCATCAAAACATGATGTCGATGATGATGATGATGATGATGTTAGTGATGTTCTTGTCCGTGGTGATAACAACCACGATTATATTCGACAATCATCAAAAGCAATGGTTGAACGATTCTTTGTTGTTGTTGTTGTTGTTGCCTCTTTCATTTATCATTGATGATGAATCTTAAAAAAAAAAAATACCACCTTGCCATTATTTCATTTCATTGACAATCATCAAATCAATCAGTCACCCAATACAATCACAGCCATCCAAATCCGTTGTCATAACAAAATCTTTTTTGCTCTGTTTTTTTTATGATACGAATATGGTATGATCCATATATATATATAATCCATTTATTTATATTGTAAATCTAAATTAAAATGTCTAGTATACGTATCAGGTAATCAAAGTAATATAGTGAACAGTTATGGATGGAATGTGGTTAAATTTTATCCAAATATATCTGTGAAATGAAACAGATCCAAATACATATGCCACATAAAATATTTGAATTTTGGCACAAGAAACAACAAGGCAAAATCAATAACAACCTGTCAAAAAAAACAAACAAACTAAAAATCTGGCAAAACAACATTTTTCATTGATCCAATCAATGAATGATTAAATTTGGCAACTCAAATTAATGTAATCAATCGATGTTTTTTATATTGATTTTACCCTGAAATAAAATCACTTGTTTCACTACTGCAACTCATCAAAAAAAGTACAATATGGTCATTTTGAAGAAATTCAATGCAAAATAGTGATTCAAGAGATAATCAAACATTATTGTCGGTCAAGAGATATTCCAACCAGATCTACATTGTTGAAAAATATTTGAATGGATTTAAAGTCATCTGTGTTTGAAGTGTTTTTGAACACGCTATCAAAATTTAAAAAAAAAAGATTCTGTTGCTTTAAAGTCATGGTTTTTATTTGAATCATACACGCATAAACACACACACACACACACACACATATAAGCTTAGATTCATAAAGACGAAAATCTTGATGATTCGGATGCTTTGGGAAGTGGCTCTGTCTACCTGTTGTTTTTTCTTATACCAGCATCTAATATGACAGGTTCAAGTCATAATAAACATTCAATACAACAACCAACCATAGTCTGGCCATAGTTGATGATTAAAATGATCCTAGCTAAAATGAACATTTGTTCCTCGCTTTTTTACCATCCATTCATCCATTCTCTGTGGCTCATCATTCGGTGGTTCAGTGATTCGATTCGCTCATAAACAAAACAGTAATAAGCTTGTGGCTAGTGGTTGTTCTAATCATAACTACATATGAATAATTTTTTTTCACTTTAATAGGCAGCTGTCATCACGCCTCAGCTAGTTAATCGATCTTTCTTTCTTTTTTTTTCGTCTAACTAAACATTGACCTCACCTAGAAACAATCTACAAGACAAGACACCAACACAGGTAACAGAATCTTTTTCGAAAATGAAATCATTCATTTATTGTAAAGAAGAACAAAAATTCGATGAGTTTGATTCGAATTTTTTTCCCATTTCATTGAAATGATGATAGAGAAAGTTAACGATTGATTGATAAAAATTAATCAATCAAATCATGAAGAAAACGAACCAATTTTTTTCACTATTTTTTATTTTCCTTTAAAACATCTAGAATTTTTCTGGTCGGATGATCGTATATATGTTGTTACATTTTCTTTACTATAGTTACTGGTGATTGATTTTAAAAATTTTTATTCTAACATGAATCTGATCGTTATCCATCCTTTTGTTCATCTTTTTCTTTAACGATTATTTTCAATTTTATTAAGATTTAAGATAGTGAGATTAACCACATTGCCAATATCAAGATGTACATGATGATGATGATGATCCACTTGATGAATGAAACCTGTCTATTGGTCGGTCTTTTTTTTTGTTTTTGTTGTTGTTGTTGTTGTTGATTCTCTGTTTTAGCTCTGCAAACGAAAAAGATATAAATCTTGTTCCCTTTTATATTTCTAGCAAAAATTCCAACAGTAGATTTCTACACATCATTCGACATTCAAACACAAACAAACACGTAGATTGTGCCTCTCCCAATCAACTTTTGACTTTATATTGTAAAATAAATTACCAAATTTCGTTGGTTAACGAGCAAATTTTTTTTCGATCATTAATTTTCCAAATCAAACAAGCCATTTTCAACAAGATTTTCAAAAATTCATTAAGATGACATACACACACACACACACACACACACATGCACAAAGGTGAATGTCATGCTTGCTAAAATGAATCCCTATTGTGTGATTGATGGTGATATTCTCATTTGGAATCGATTGAAATTCCATAGAAGATTATTATGGCCAAAATGGATAAGGATTACCGATCATCATTATCATTTTGATTTTTATTCGATATAAACAAATTTTCTAATGTTGATCATCATGACTTGCTTTTTTTGCTTATTTGTTTGTTTGTTTGTTTTTCTTGTTGACTGCCTGTCGTCAACATCATTTATCGATGCCAATAATTTGGTCACGTCTAAAAAAAAACCTGCACATCTTAGAGATATGTGGCCCCCATGATTGTTGTTTTGATGGGGATCATCACATCAATCCATCGACCGACATCAAAACAAGCCCAAATTTTTTTTTTATTTTCCTCCAAAAATTCAAACAAAAAAAAATATCTCATTGAAAATAAAGAGAGAAAGGTCATCAAGGTTAACAAGGTCACTGTATAAACAACCAATTCAAATAGAATGCAATACAAAAATGAATGAAATGTATGAGACAGTGACGACGACTTCTAGAGATAGACAGACAGATAGATAGATAGATCGATTTTGGCATCACGATCTTTTTTTTCATTGTGATGATGGCCTATTGTTCGAATGTACAAATCCAATCCACCATTACTTCTATCTGACAGGTGATTTGTCTATATATTCAACATAACAAAATTTCATTCACATTCAATCTCTCATATCATTGAATGTCATCGAATGGCAATTATTTTTTAGGTTGGAATTGCCATACCAATCAAAATAATGTCATTATGGGCCTAAACAATCATTTCCGAATAGCGTGCCATATGCCCGTTTGTT